TTATAGAATTTTTACGAGGTAAAATTGTAATGTATTACTTGCTGTTAGTAACTCAGCTTATTATAGAGTATAGTAAGTATACTGATGGTGCGATGCAGTTTATACTTTAGTTTTTTATGTAGTTTATACTTTAGTTTTCTACGTGGTTGTTGAGTAACTGCAGCTACATATCATTAACATTCCTTTCCTTTGTTACTGCTAATCCCTGCACCCCCCTTGGTTGCTGCTGATCCTGCATAATGCATGGGCATAATATGACTTTGACACCCCCCCGCCCAACGCCTACGCATTTTCCATGAATATGCTAAATCCCTCTTCACATGCACATTCTTTTTGTTAAGGCGCTCTTCAACCCCCAATGCAGCTTATATATAAGCTCCTAGTTTGGTAGTGTCTCATTCTTCACCTGAAGACGGCTGCTTGCGTTGTAGCCGAAACGTCGTGAGAATTGTTTTATTATGTTTTATTTTTATTATTTTATTACTTCCCTTCTACGTGACTTTACCGAAAGAAACAAGAATATTTACTTAATAATTATATCATCGGACCTAAGGCCGTATGTTCTGGACACTCAGGTGAGGGGAGGGCAGAACTATCATCTGATCACCACCTGGTGGTAAATTGGATCCGATGCTTGGAGCACCGACCAGATAGACGTGCAAGGCCCAAACGAATAGTGAGGGTTTTCTGGGAACGGCTGGCGGAAGACCCAGTGCAGAAAGATTTAAACTGCCACCTCTGGGAAAACTTCTCCTACACTCCAGCGGAAGTCATGGACATTGAGTGTATGAGTGGACAATGTTCAGGACCTCGATTGTCGATGCAGCTGCGAAAAGCTGTGGCCTGAAGGCAATTGGTGCCTGTCATGGTGGCAACCCTAGGACCCGCTGGTGGATACCAGTGGTGAGGGAAGCTGTCAAGTGGAAGGAGACTTTCCGAGCTTTGCTCAGAAAAAGGTCTCCTGACACGATTGAAAGGTACCGGCTTGCCAAGAGAACGAATGAACAAACCACAATGAGATCAAAAAATAGCACGAGACTACAGAGAAACAAAATCAAAGGCAATCTTGGACACGGAGGCACACGCAACACGAACCAGGCAGGGTGGCAGCAAACGCCCAACATCAGTGGAAGTTCCAGAGAATAACAATATAGTGACAACAACAACAAGAGTTAATCCTCCACAGCATAATCCATGCAAACATTGCCCTAAAAAAGCTGGACATGACGAAGCTCCATCACACGTGAACAATAAGCAGCAACAACAATTTTATTAAGTGTGATTTGAAAACTGGAATGTAACCAATAGGATGTACGTGCAAAGGGAGGGCATTGCAATAACCAATGCACCAGCGCTGCATCCCAACCCACAATATGTTTGATTCATTGTTGATTTTCTTTTTAGGCCCGATCGCATAAATAAAATGTGTGTCGTAAACCCTCCTCCACCAAATAATAAAGTTGTCACGTGAACACAATAATCACATAACAGTACCATAAACCTTTTTGAATCCAGACTAGTTGACAATAGAGGCTTTTTGTTTATGGGGGATGTACAGCATATTACAAATAAATAATTAACTATTCCTCGATTGTATTAGATTTGCATTTCATTAACACGTAATGCTTACATTTAATTAACACTTAGTAACTTAAATTAATCACTCCGAATTGCTTTAAGCCAAGTCACCATCACTCATAAAGCAAAGGCTGAGGTGCAATAGATGTGGAAGGATCAGGACATTTTCTGCTGAGCTTGAAGCCGACAACATTCTTACTACAAGAATGGTATAGTATTTAGAATATTAATCTCCATCCGTTTATTTGTCCGTCTGTCCGTAAAGGGTGGGGGCGGACACATCAACTCTCATTAAGATATCGCAATATGAGCGAAATTTTACTTTAGAGTTGTGTTGCTATTACAGAATTGTAAAGAAAGCCAGTCAAATTGATCAAATAATTGGCCAAAACGTTCAGAAACACGAGCACTAAAAGGATTCACCTCAGCAACCCGGTCCTGCTAGCAGAGGCTCACTGAATGTGGCAGCCTATATATTTGGCAGGTTTGAAGAATATGTAAAATAAATGCCAAGTAAATGTGAAATAAACAAAGAGAATTCGCATTAGTTCACTGATTGCATCAGTACACCATGTTTGGCAATTACTTTTCGCTCTTGTATTTTTTAAACCAATTTTTCAATAATTTAAACACATGTTTTGAGTTCGAGGATCGACTGCAAAGCATCATATTCTACTGCTCTCAGCTTAATTAGCACGTGAACAGTGTTCTTTTATATATATATATATTTTTAACAAAGGTGACCCCTGAATTTTGGCTGGCTGACTCAAGTGCCTTCAAAATTTAAGCTCTCTGTTATGTATTTATTCCACTGATGGTATCTATGCATAGCTGGTAATCAGTTTAACACGTAGGCTTTTGCGACTAATATTATTCACAATAAAAGTTTTTGGTTTCGATCGCATAAGTAATTGAGAGAAATACAAATAATTGTAACCGCTCTGACAGCTACAGGCTTAGTGCGGCCTGAAAGCATATTATTAAGTAATACATCTCACAACTGCATTCCTTATAGAGGAAACATATGCTAATTAACTGATTAATAATCTTTTATACTAGTCTGTTAGCCCGTCCTAGGACGGAAGCTGTAATATTTAAGATGTATACTCTTTGGTTCTTTCGGTAAAGTCACGTAGTTAGAAATAAAATAAAATGAAACAAATCACGACGTTTCGATCGCAACACAATCAATCGTCATCAGGTGGGACAACTACAGCAAGAAACAACTACTGAAGACGGCGAGAGAGCTGCCGTGGCACGAGGTTATATAAACTATATAGCTAGGGTACATGGGTGGGGCTAAAGATGAGGGAGGCAGAGTAAGATCTGCGGAGGCGACGGGAGAGCTAGGGAGAGAGAGTTGGGGGGTTGCCAATGCAGCAACAATGCCAATGCAGCAGCAATGCCAAACGCTGGGGATGCAGGGGGAAATTAACTCGAAAAAAACCCTGAGTTTTTTCGCTTGTGTTGCGATCGAAACGTCGTGATTTGTTTTATTTTATTTCTATCTACGTGACTTTACCGAAAGAGTCACGAAAGATTCAAATCAAGATTTAAGATGTAAATAAACGTTTTATTGTGATTGTACATTTTGTTCAAAGTGTCTTGGGTCTGGCGAGCTCTCCATCTCTGCTGTCTTTCTCTTTGCAAACGGCGTTTCTTAGCTGCAGTATCTTCGTCCTCCATCATGTTTGGCAATCCTGGGCTGAGGTATTTAGATCTTACGACACTCAACGTGCTCCAGCAGCTGGAACACTGCGATAAAGGTTGCCTTGCGCTTTTTAGACACTGTATAGGGGCAGTGTGATCTGCAGAGGGGGCAATTTTAGCTAACAGAGGCAAAATAAGCATTAAAATTGGTTTAAAAAATTACCACAATAGGCAAAGGCGAACAATCTATGTGGCTGTATATTTTGAAAAAACCCATAACTTCACTTTAGCACTGTTTTCAAATCACCTGAGGCTGTTAACTGACAAAATTATATTATCCGATGAATGCTTGATAGCGAAGAGTGAAGAAAGTGGAGTGCTGATACTATCTGAAGTAACTTAGCAAATAACGAAGACCAAAGAGAAGCATTAGAGTTACGAATAAATTGATCAGAGTATAATTATATCTTGTCTAAATGTCATGGCAGGGAATATATAAACAAAGAATGTCATCAAACACTTCACTGCATTTCACTGTAGCACTGTATTAATGGCAGTGAATGTTGCACAAAAGGAAGTCATAAAACATCTGACAGCATTTGACCGCAGCACTGCATTAATGGCAGTGTTTGTTGCACGCAACTAAGTCATAAAACACCTGACGTAATGTCACAGTAGCACTGTATTTAACGGACCTTCAATTCCTTTAAATTCACTGCTCTGATACTTACCTATCTTCTGCTTTCGCTCGCTGGGGTTCAAACCAATTGGAATTCGACACAATGTCTGCAAAGTAGCAGATAAATGTTTATTGTAGCATAATTTGGAAGCGTAAAGTAGACTTACGTTTAGTTTGACATGCCGATGAAATAAATAAAGACACCAAATGCACTGTGATGCAGCATAGAATTATGTATTGCCTTCACTTTCTATAAAGATACCTAAAATCGAACTTTCATAGCCGCTCGACCTTCTGAGTTAGTCTTAAAATACAGGCACACATGAATAATAATGAGGGGGGGGGGCATGTGTAATGACGTCATGCACAGGACACACACACAGTCTTGTTTGGCTAGTTATATTCGTTGCTGCGTTGATTTCTTCATTAGCTTAACTTTCCATAAAGAAAGGTAAAAATTTGCGCAAACAAATTTTCGTTTCCGCCCCACCTTCTTCATGCGGAGTGACGTCACCCGTTCATGATTATTAATGGGGGCTGGTCGACGTGGAGTGACGTCACGCGCGTTACACACAGACATTCTTGGCTCATTATATTAGTAATAATTACAATACCTCCCCCTCCTCTGCCTCTGATCTCTGCACCTGATGGGTTCAGTGATGACGTCATCTTGCTCTATGTAAGACCGGAAGCAGGTGGATGGCTTCACTATTCTGGCAAATCGCCCGATGATGCTGGGTGTAATTACCAGCGAAACGTCGTATTCAAATTGTAAATGTTGTGGATTTACTCTCTAACACACCGGTGGGCTGAAGTAGTAACTAATTGGTGCGTTGTTTATGTGACAAACCTTACTGGCTGTGTCAGGTGGTAGAGGTGCCTGGTAATCAATTTAATTCCGAAGAGATATATAAAACTCCGTGCATGCATTTTTCCGACTTTCTTTCAGAATTTTGAGACATGGTTGCTTTTGAATATTTTATAAATCCAAATAATGCAATTTTGATTTTGTTGTAATGATTTAAAATGGTTTCTTATTTTACTGTATGAACATGTTTAATTTGCTTATACAATTATGTTGTCTTTTGAACAGTGCCATACATTGACTATGTTGCACTGCTCACTGGCCCTGGAAATCTTCAATGCGACTGTTTCATTCGTGTTAACAAAGGATGTACACAGGATGAACTTTTCCGAGTATTTAGTAATACTCTGTCAAAATGGGAAGATCGAGGGATGACATCTATCTCCATGCCATTGATTGGAACAGGTAGGCATTTATGAATTTGAGAAATGCGTGGTTCATATCAAATAAGCAAGTCGGATGTTAAGAGAGTTTCTATAATTAAAACAAATATTCCCAAATGTGTTCGAAACAGATTTTTTTCACAGTGGTTGACACAAACAAGAAATGTCTATAGTTTACATGCACAAGAGGTGAAATTATACATTAGCTGTATGAAATAACAAAGCCTGTAATACTGGTGTCGTGAGTCCAACTTAGTCGCAGACGTTATCTTGGGAGAAACACTATTTATTAAGCAACTTTAACATAACATAACACAATCTACACTCGGATATCGAATGCCCATCTAACCACGCTACGGCAGAATTAGACACAGTTCGCTATCCCGGCCCGGACCACAAGCTGGGTCCCGGACCGCGTGGCTAGAGATTTCTCCCCGACGTGGATCTTCTTCACACCAGCACACAAAGAACCTTGAGCTCCTCACGGGGCCCCCGTTATATCCCCTTGGGCTGGGGCTGGTTCCGCCCATCGCCCCGCCCACCTTCCAGATCTCTCGAGCTCTTTCTCGAAGGTTCCCGAGAGCTCTTTTAGACCACGTGACCGCCCCCGTCCACCGGTGGCCCCCCTCCAATATCATCCGGTCACGTGTCAGCAGGTCAACCAGCGTATCATGCCACAACGTAACCCTGGCTAGCTGACGCTCCCTCTAGCTCCCTCACCGGGAGCCCGCACCGCACACTGCTCGCGGTGCCTCTGCGCTGACCAGCGCTCACTCAAGCCCCGCTAGGGTTGGTACTACGCCCCGTAAGCGGGCTACACATATCAGCACATTATCCACCGTGGCTTCGTAAGCCCGGCACCACACAGTGACAATCACAGTCACTACACTGGTGTAAATTGTGGCAAATGTATGTACGTTGTACAGTGGTACCTCGGTATACATCATTAATTCGTTCCAGAAGGTAGGACTTATACTGAAAATGACGTATACCAAACTATTTTTTTCCAAAAGAAATAAAGAGAAAGGAAATAATCCGTTCCAGAGTATAAGAAATTATATTTTATATGGCACATTATACATTAATGAGGTTGTATAAAATAATTTAGACACTACTTATTACTAAAATGCATACATAAATTAAAATACATGCATAATTTTTTTTTTAAATTGCATTTTTTTACATCACTTTACCTTGCTGAGAGGAGTTGATAGCCTACGTGGATGGTGGTGAGGAAGGGGAGGAGGAGATGTTATTTTTTTGAAGGAGAGTCCCCTTCCATTAAAACTTCAGGAAGCTGAAATTCTGGGGTTTTATCTCTTTTTCTTTTTCTTCTTGATTTGGACCTGCTTGAGGCTCACCAGGTTTGAGTTTTACTAAAAGACTGTCCATTGAAGTTGGTTTTTGCCTTATTCTAAGAATGTTCCTGAAGTGTGACATTCTCTGGTCATTCGACACAATACTGTTATGGCTTGTTAGAGCTTTATTGGAGGTGGGGTATACGTGGGTACTGTACGCGGTGACTCATCCCGACCCATACAAGTTCTAGCAAGCGCGTCGTATCCCAAGCAATACGTCGTATCCCAAGACATTTTTTTCTCGTCAAAACACGACGTATACCAAATTCGACGTATTCCAAAGTGGTTGTATACCGAGGCATAACTGTACATTGTATGAACAAACATAAAACATCTATGTACCATCACATAAGGCACAATTTATGTAGATTATGTTTTCATGCTTTTGCAGGATTTTAGCATTAGCTAGTAACTTCATAAAAAATATTCTGCTAAAGTCACGTAGATGTTTTTGGCTCAATTTATCATGCGGAATGAGCAGAGCCCCATTCCACAAGAAATGCCAACAGTGAATCATGACAGGGGGAATTGCAGCTTTGAAGCACCTTATAAATCTTAAGGTGCTTTACATCAATGATAATGGGGGGGGGGGGGGGGGGGTGGGGGGCGATGGTTAAGAAGTTTGTGAGTTAAAATAGAAAACGCTTTCTGATACAAATGTTTTGGGCGGGATCTGAAATTCCCGACAAAACTGGACTCCCTGACAACTATCGGCAGAGAGTTCCATGTCCAGGTGCCAAAACAGCGAAGGCCCAGAGATCATTGCCCATTGTCCCGAGCTTCGTTTTTGGAATACAGAGGAGATCTAAGTCCACCAACCACATAATTATTGTTGGAACGTAGGGGCACAGCAGGAACTTCTCAATGTACGGATATGCGAGATTTTTCAGGGCCTTGAACGTGAGGAGGACTTGAATTCAATATGGAATTTAACCGAAAACTGGTCCATTTATACAGGAACAAGAGTGATATGTTTTGAATGAGGAGCTTTGGTCAGGACCTTAGCAGCTACATCCTTAATGGACTGGCGTTGACAGAGTGAGTACCTTATTGGAGGTTCTAGACATTCCCGACTGGCGTTAGCCATGGCGAGGAATTTAACTCAGGTTTTTGGGTTCATAGGGCAGTTTTTTTTTAAAGATAGATATTCTGGGCCAACAAAGAGGTGCTGTATCAAATAGAATAAGAATATTAACTCATTTAATCGATTAGGAAGAGGTAGAAAATCTGCATTGGACAGGCAGTAGTGAGACGGAAGAAGTTGAAGGAGGTGATCAAAGGAAGTTTTTTTTCGGGAAAAAACCGAGAGGAAGGAAATTCATGGCGATCCTTAATAATGTTCAGTGAGGAAGGACGTGTGGACAGATGAAGATAGCAGCAGAACCAGTGGAACTTGGCGGATAGAATTGTGCCTCGGAAATGTCTATGGACAAAATACTAAATGATTATTGTCTGTTTACTAATTTATATACATAACGTTGACTGAACAATGATATTATCGAAAAACATTTTACATATAAAACAATCCGTTTTTGTCTATCCAATGCTTGATGAGGACTCACCCACGGGATAATAATTGCTTATGATCACATGGCACAACATCCCAGCTCACTCCTGCGGACTATTTTACTTGTTCCATATTATCAGCAATTATTCTATTGGGTGTATTTTCTCCTTTTGCTGCTATTCACATTACCAGTCTTGTCCTTTCATCCCTTTTAGCAATGTATCTGAATTCTTAACACAACTTAGTCTGGTTAAATTCCCAAGCCTAATTCATGTAATGTTAGATATTATGCTTCGGTTTTGCATGTGTTCCCTCGTATGTATTATGCGTCTTTCAATGTAAATCTGAGCAAGCATCTTGCTACGTGTCTTTGGACATTTTAAAGTCTTGGTTCCATTTTCTGTCTGTCAGTCTGTATTTTTCGGATCCATATTCTACAGATGGCCAGTCAACACTGATTAAAAGATAGCCTCTTTGAGTACATTCGTATGCTGCTTTTCATGATCAAGTTAGGCTTTTCAAAAGCACTTGATACTTTTTTTGCTTACCTTTCAACATTTTAATCCTGATCCGCCTTCAATAATTGAACTAGGTATACAATTTGTTCCATATCTTTGTGTCCTGCTCTTATTTTATGTATCTCTCAGACTTGTTGTATATTACTTTTGCTCATGTTTCTGATACAATCACCACCATCTATATCAAAGATAAAGACAAAGATCCCCTGTATAGCCTTAACAGACTATAGGGACAAGTGCTGTTAGCGAGCACCTATGAAGGCCAGAACGGTACACAAGGGGATGGGTGGCCAGCATCACGCCCGACCGCCTTTGTCTCCCCAGTGACGATGTTTATACACCGCACCAGGTACTCATTTGAGGCTGAGCTGGCCTAGAGGAGGCCCAGGACCGGTTAAGATAATCGTCACTGGTGTTGGCCGTGAGCGGGAATCGGGTGTGTACTCGGTGTGGAGGTCGGGGGAGGTAGTGGCACTGCGCTCCCCTGACCTCATCGTCTGCTTTTCCCGCTTGTTTCACCCCGGCTTCTCCCGACGCCGTGAACGACTCTTTGCGGCTGGCCCGGTAACTTTTTTGCACCCATACACTATTAAGCCAATTCAGGGGCACCGTGATGTAAATTGTCCTGCGAGGGTCGGTCAATCCCCTGGCACCGGGAAACCGTGGAACTTTTCTCATCGGGACCCTTTGGATTAAAAGCCGTTATGCCAAGCAATCCCACGCCAGGACACTTCGTGTGTACGCTGTGTGTGTGTATTCAATGTGGGGGCCAGGAGGGGTCACGGTGCTTGCAGAGTGGCTTCGAGGCCGTGGCACCACAACTGTATATCATCCAAACATTGTCTCATTACCTCTTTAAGTGTTGGCTAGGCATAAAAGTAAAATGCAACAGTATATTTTAAAACATAAATGTCCGTGTAACTTTCTGACTTCATTTACTGTGTTTCCTAGGTGTTCAATGGCTGACAGCCCAACAGTCTGCTGAGGCTTTATTTGATGCAGTATCTGAATTTTCTACTCATAAGAAACCGAAGAAACTTAATATCATTCAGGTTATGGATGATAATCAAGGGACACTTGAGGCTTTTCATCAGGAAATACAGCGCAGACAGGAAAAGTCTACTGCTCAAGACAAGGGCTTCTGGTCTTATATGTCAAGTAAAGAGTGATGCAAATGCACAGTATACAACAGCTGGTCATTTCAGTGTACGATTTAAGCATTACTTTTTGTTATTGCTTTCATTGATGAATGGTTTGCTATTCCACAGGAGGTTTCGGAAAATTGAAATCCATCGTGACAGTTACAAGCGAAGACCAGCAACAAACTCAGTCAAGCCAGATTCCATTTAGGATTGAACCAATCCACATTCAGCTCACGTCTGACTCAGAAGACTGCTTCAATCTAGTAATTACGGAGATAGAGGGAAACTTAAATAAGGAAAAATGTGAAAGGGAGATAAATAATGAAGTTATTTTACAGTTTGGAGATGAGGAAAGAGAGAAAATATTTCTTATGCAAGATAAAAACCAAGTTTTCATTACAATTGACACAAACAATAGTGGCTCAATAAAGATCCAAGGTAATGCAGCTGATGTATGCCAGGTTTATTTTGAACTCCATGACGTGATAAGCAATGTAAATCAGAGGATTGCGAAAATACAACTAGAAACTATGATGTTTGATAAAGTCACTTGGATGTACCAACAACAGGAAACGTACATCCCATTCAGCCCCAAATCCAACGCCCTCATTGAAGAAGCTTATATAAAAAATGAGATTAATGTTTTTATAGAAGAAGATGGTACTAAGTCACTGGTCAAGTTAAAAGAAAAAACCATGAACAATGAAGGTATAGAGGTTATGATTAAACGAAAACTTCCCACTGGTGAGTAAATGCACATTCAAAATTATGCCACAATAGTAAAAATGTTTCTGCTCTTTAACACTTTAAATAATCTGTGATGGAGAAAACTGTCAAGGTTGACTAAATAATGATTTTACATCTCGTATAAACTACCTCGTTTGTATTGTTCATTCCATGTTTGCTATATTTCCCGTTTTTTTAATCTCATCAACAATTTCCTTCATTTATATTGTATGTTTACTTTACTGTCTTGATTGTAATGTCTGTATCCTTGTATTGCTTGTATCATTTTTTATTGTATCGCCTTTAACCTATATCTTATTTCTATGGTCTATCTTGTCTACGGTATATTCTTTCTCATTCTGTCTGTCGTTTTTAATCAATGTATTCTTTCTTCACTGCACTGATTCATCAACACTGGATATTGTATGTTTTCTCATCGTGTCATTGGTTCATATTTGTATTATCTAACGTGTTCAGTTTCATGTGATCTGTCTGTCTCACTCATATAATTTAATCAGGATATGGTAAAAAAAAATGATATATATAAGCCAAGCACAGGAGCAATCATGGTTTAGGAAGAGTTTCTTTACCATCGGGAGATCTCATCTTTATCCACAGTAATATGTGGGACCAATATTGGAGATCCTATGATCTGACATTTTACTGCAATCTGTGAGGTAAGATATTGTGGGTAACCGGCAAATGATTGGATGAATTTGGTGCATGACTCCTGTTATCTCCAAAGGAATTGCAGCTGATAGGAGTTAATGAAATAGCGCCCATTACCCGTGAATAAACTCATGGTAGTAGGACAGATTTGCCATGCAATTTCTCATATCTACGAAAAATCGCAGATAACAGGAGATTCGTGGTGAGTGAGTACAAAAGCAACAAAGAGACAAAAGCATCAAGATTGCAAAGAAAGAGTGCAGGTTCCTTAAGGAATAGGGTAGAAATAACAAACGAGTTATGTAATGGCTGCAAACGAAACATGTCTGAATAGAAAAAAGCAAGAGTGCCAGAAATTTGTTTAGGTCCAGGTGCAAATAAACTTCATATTTTAGTGACATAAACACATGCAAATTGAAACAGACTGCACGAACAAGCCGGAAAAAGAGGCACCAGGAAAAAGGTGCAGGTGCAAGTATGCTCTGTGTTTTGGTTTAATAAGGAAATAAAGAGGGGGAGTGAATGGAGGGAGCCGAGCTGTAGATGAGCGGAGAGGTATTCCAGAAACCCGTAGCAGCAACGTGGAAAGACTTTTACCAAATCAAGTTTCAGCAAATTGAAAATTTTAGGAGGAATAAGGAGGCACTTCTGAGGTTATGGGAGGATGTTAGAGGAATTAAGTGATCCTTGAGGTAATTGGCTTATATGCTAAAGATAACCTTTAGGACGTGTGAGGAGCTCACAGATCCTTGAAAGATCTGGAGTCCCAATGGTGAGCTCCTCCAGCAGGTGAGGCTACGTTGGCTGGGTTGTGCCCAGGAACGGCAGGCCCAATCAGCTTCTATTTTGCTGGATAGAGGAGGCTAAACGGGCATGGCATGCCTGAAGAGGAGATGGGCTAATGTGGTATGAGAGGATGTGGGGCCGATTGAACTTGCAAATGACTCGCGAGCATCTGAACGTATTTGCTGCGTGACTCCCCTTACATGTGTAATAAAGGACTCGACCACGGTATCTGGCTTGGTGTCCTTTATTCGGGTTCGTGTTCTCTTCCCCACACGGCTCTCTCCCAGAGACCCTCCGCTCCGCTGCTGACGCTGCTGTCGCTGCTGTAGCTGCTGTAGCCTTCTCCCGTCCCCACCGCAGCTCCGCTGCTGCTCTCTGCGTGCAGCCTTCCGGCTCTCCTTGACGCAGCCCCACCGCTGCTGTCTCTCTCTCCACCGAAGCAGCCCCTCTCTCTGTGCAGCCTCCCCGGCCGCTGGCCGACGGTGCCGACCGTACTCTGTGTGTGTGGCGATCTCGCCACTCCTCCTGCCTTCGCCCTACGTGGCCTCACACTAGCCCAGTCTCCAGTCACTCCCCTCCTCTTCCGGTTTCACCTCTTTAATACCTGAACCCTTACCCCCACGTGACGTAACTCCTCCCCCCCATGACGTCACATCCGGAAGGTCGTTTACGCCCGCATTACACCACCCTCCCCCGTAGAGAAAACCCAGCCGACCTCGGCTGAACAAAACTCCAACAAGTAATGCGAGCGAAACTGACTCAACGACAATAAGGGACACAAAGCATGCAATAAATATAACCGTAAGAACAATAACACAACATGAACAATTAACGAAACGTAAGTGATTTAGAACGTGTGCGGGTCGCCGGACCGTCCCGGACGGTCGGCGGCCCTCCTGCAGAGCGGGAGCGTGATGGGGTTTTAAGAGCGACAGGCCGCAAATCTCCTGTCGCTGTTGGAGGCCCACCAACGTCCCGGTCCCGTGTCCCCGAAGGCTCAGCCTCGGAGGTGTCCCGCGATTGTGCTTGCAGCGGGGTCGGTAGGGCTGCAGGGTTCGAAGTTTCCGCAGTCCTGGCAGGCACCCTCCGAGCAGAGCCCTTCGTCACCCGCGGTGTCACGGCCGGTCTGTCTGTAACAGGCACGACAGGCGCTCTTGCAAGATCAACGGACGCAGGCAAGGGTGAGTCGGCAGCAACAGACCCCGGCAAGGCAACATCAGGAGATGACGCATCCGGTAGAGGAGCAACATATGGTTTCAACCGCGACGTGTGAACGAACCAGCGGCGAGATCCAACCCGAACACGTGCCGACTGCGGGTTGGGAACCTCGATGAGGCAGACGGGCCCTTGCCACGGTTTATGTAACACAGGAGAGGTACCTGGCCGCACCTGCGGGCAATGGAGCCAGGCCAGGTCCCCAACCCTCCAGGGGCACTCCCCCTTAGAGCGTCGAGCATACCGCTCGTTCCGGGCCTGGGCTTTGGCCGTAGACACGCGGGCCCCCTCCCGCGCCTCCGTGACCCGGCGAACGGTGTCCCGAATGTAATCTGGAAGTGGCTTACCAGGTCCCCTCATCCCGGTTCCCAACTGCACATCCATCGGCGGCACGTTCTCCCGACCATACATAAGGAAAAACGGCGAATACCCTGTAGCCGCATGCGGCGTCATCCGGTACGCCGAAAGCACCTCGGGGATGTGCAAATCCCAATCTGATTGTTGTTCACTCACCGTGTGGCACAGCATGGCGGACAAGGTCCGATTTAACCGTTCGACCATACCATCCGTTTGCGGATGGTAAGGAGATGTGCGTATTTTCTTAGTCCCAAGGGCTGCGCACACTTCCGCCAATAATTTAGAAGAAAAATTTCGGCCCTGATCCGTGAGGAGTCTTTCCGGCGCCCCCTTGTCCATAACGTACCCAAATAGAAAGGCGTCGGTAATAGCCGCGGCCGATTGGTCGGGCAACGGCCAGGCCATCGGCCAGCGGGAGAGGTACTCCACCCCAACCAACAAATATTTATTACCCCTCGCAGACGGTGGGAAGGGTCCCAGAATGTCCAGTGCCACCAATTCATTGACCCGAGACACCTGAATAGACTGTATCGGCGGCACATAAGGATGTTTAGGTGGCTTCCGCCGGGCGCAATCGGGACACGCACGCACGTGCCCGACGACATCCGTCGCCATGCCGTGCCAAAAGTAATGACGTTGCAACGTCAATAGGGTCTTTTGAACACCCAGATGTAAGAGCGTGTCCTGATTAACTCATATCGCAAGGACGCCGGCACGACCAGACGCCAGTGTTCCTGTAATCCTTCCCTCCACATGAGCAGACCATCCCGGAGAGCGGTTTCCGGCATCACACCCGTACACGGACCCCCGCTCTCCCCCGCAGACGGTTTCCGTAAAGACAACAAAGACTCATCCATCATTTGTTCCCGAATCCACACAGACCGCGGCAGATTCAAAATCCCATCAGTCGGACCCGGCTCCATCGGAGCATCCGGCCTCTCAATGGCTCCCGCGACCGGCTGAGGGGGAGATTGAATCGGCGCACACCTATGCGTCCCCGACGTGCACGCGCAAGGGGAGCGCTGCGGCAACCTAGAAAGTGCGTCCGCATTCGCATGGCGCACCCCCTTCCGAAGGTGAATTTGAAAGGAAAATTCTTGCAGCGTGTCCAACCAACGCGCCAACTGGCCGGATGGCTGGTCCATCTTAAGAGCATACTGCAAGGCCACATGATCCGTGCGCACAATAAACGAACGACCGTACAGATACGGTCGAAATTGGCGCAGAAAGAAAACAACAGCCAAAAGTTCCCTGCGAGTGACGCAGTAGCGGGTTTCCGCGGGAGACAAAACCCGGCTACCGTACGCCACCACGCGCTCCACACCCCCCTTAGACTGAGACAACACCGCGCCAATGCCCGTGTCACTCGCATCCGTATCAAGAATGAAAGGGTGGTCGAAATCCGGATAATCCAACGTCGGCGCTGTAGCCAATAGATCGCGCAGGCTCTGAAAAGCCGCCTGTTCCGGCGGTCCCCAACCAAATTTTCGTCCTTTACCCGTAAGGAGGTGCAAGGGCCTCGCGATCGTCGCGAAATTCGGAACAAATCTCCGATAATATGAGGCAAATCCCAAAAAACGCCGTACATCCCCCACGGTGGCCGGGGTTGGCCAATCCCGGACGCACGCCGTTTTGTCCGGATCCGTGGCCACCCCATCAGCACTCACGATGTGCCCCAAGTAACGGACGGAGCGTTGCAGTAGGTGACATTTCTTAGGTTTAAATTTCAAATTGGCGGAACGCATCCTCGTGAACACCGACTCCAACCGCCGTAAATGTTCATCAAATGTGCGGCTGAAGACGATAATATCGTCCAAATATATGAGACATGTCTCCCACTGCAACCCCGTCAACACCAGCTCCATCAACCTTTGAAATGTGGCAGGGGCCGCATTCAGCCCCATCGGAAGGCAATTGAATTGAAACAACCCCTGCGGCGTACGGAATGCGGTTTTCTCCCGCGAGGGCTCGTCAAGGGGGAGCTGCCAGAATCCCGAAGAGAGATCCAGCGTAGAAAAGAACTTGGCCCCCGACAAAGCATCGAGGGAGTCGTCCATACGCGGCAGGGGATACGCATCTGCCACCGAAATTTTATTCAATTTCCGGAAATCAACACAAAATCGCAATTTGCCGTCCTTTTTCTTGACCAAAACAACAGGCGCACCCCATGGGCTGTTAGATGGAGATATTATGTCCGCAGCCAACATGTCATCCACTGCCCCCCGAACATGTTCCCGTTCAGCCGGACTCATCCGGTGCGAGTTCAACCGAATAGGGGCAGCGTCCCCTGTGTCAATATGATGGTAAAGCAACGAGGTGCGTCCCAAATCCAAATCATCGGAGCTAAACACGTCCGAATAAGTCAACAACAATTTCCGAATCGCACAACGTTGTTCCCCGGACAGGGAAGAATTTTCACTACATAAGTCGGCAATCCAGCGATTATCCGAAGCCCCCGGCCCCAAAACTCCAGCAACCACGCCCTGGCCGTGCAGGCAATCCCGTGCCATAAAAGCCGTAGTGGCATGTGCCACAACCGTACCCGCCGGAACACACACGTTCTCGGTACTCGCATTGAGCACCTGCAAAAACGGTTGTTGGTCCGGCCGGACGATGGTCTGTGCCCCAACCAGCGCCAATCCGGCCGTCATGGTGGCGGACGGTGACAACAAGACCCCAACCGCACCTTGCCGATCAGGCAGAGGCTTCCGATACCGCAAGGGAATACGCATCTGTGAGCCAGGTGGTATATCAACAGATACATCGGATAACGCCTGCACCTGGGCGGCAGGAGCAGGTCGCCCCCAGGGCGACGGCAGAAACGAGATTTTACGGCCACCCGGCAATTCAATACAATTCTCATTAATTTTTTATCAGAATGGGCATTCTAGCCAGAAAATCAGTACCCAATAAACAAGGAACTGCCAGAGATCTCGAAATTAACACTATACCCGAGGCCGACACATCCCCGATAGATATTTTAGCGTCCACCTGGCCCACAATGCCCATGCTACCCCCGTTTGCAGCGACGCATGACCCGTAAACCGGACGCACGGCCCCCGGTGGGATGCCCAAGAGATGGAAAATGACATCCGATATAATGGTCGCGGACGCCCCGGAATCAACCAAAATACGTACGTCCACCCCTTGTATAGACCCCGGTACAGTGGATGAACCAGTAGCGGCCGCGACGACCCTCCGTGCCAATTTACGCCACTGCGTCACCGAGCGACACGGCCCCGTCGATGGCCTCCCGTTGGTAACAACACCCGGATCGCACGACAATGGTGATGGGTGAGGTGTAAAGCCTTGCCGGGTGTCTGGTGCGCACCGACTTGCCTGCCTTGGAGGTTCCTTCTTTGGAGCGTCCGTTGACGAGGCCTCCTGCTGGGGCGGACCCGGGATGCGGGCCCAGCAGTCCCTGGCGTAGTGGCCCCTGCGCCCGCAGCGGAAGCAGTCAACGTCGTTGCGCCATAGCGCCGGCCCTGCGTCCCGACGGCCCCGTGCCAGCGGTGCAGCGCGTGGAACCTGTTTACCCCGGCCCGACCATGGGGCCGAGGCGGCCGTCAGCTCCTGCGGGCCCCCTTCATCCGGCACGAACACTGCCTTCTTAGGGTCCCAACCCATGGCGCCTCCCTCGATGATGGGCCCCTCCGTCCACGCCGCGACTTGCTTCCACCGGCACAGGTTAAATTGTGCGTCCAGACATTTGGCTGCCGCCCGGGACATTAGCTTCTCGTGGCCGCATGCCGGCATGGGAATCCCCAGATCTCGGGACAGCTCGAGCATCTTCCCAAAGATGAGAGGCTCGAGCAGGTCAGGCTTCGTCTCCGGATATGCGGCCATAGCCAACTCCAGTACCGCACCCCGAAACGCCACCGGCGATTCCTCGGGCGCTCGCTGTCGTTGAGCAAACCGGTGATGAGCGTCATCAGGTGGCTCATAAGCATCCGCCATTTCCTCAAAAACTCCTCGCAATGTCTTCTTCTTCTCAGCCGTTATCGAACGGAAAAATCTGACCGACTCGTCATCCAGAAGAGTCGGCAGTACTTCCAAAGCCTCAGCGTCAGTCCACCTTGCAGAGCGTACCGCTGCCAAAAATCTGCAGGCGAAAGCGCTCCAATCGCCCCCGATAGAGAATTCCTTGACCGTAGTAAGGTGACGACTGCGACTCCTTGGCGCGCCGTCTTCGAGCGATGATTCCTCCGGTGGAAGGTTCAAAATGGCGTCGCATCGCGGCGTGGTCAAGATGGCAGCTCCCCGTCGCGGAGAGCGCAAGATGGCGGCTTCCCGCCGTTCTTCCCCCGCCACGCCCAAGATGGCGTCGTCGTGCCGCGTGGCTGATGGCGTCGACGACGAGGCGGCGGCCTGTGGAGCACCATCAGCTCTCCCAAACGCCGTCTTTGGTGTGACGAGGGCACACAGCTGCGCCAATACATTCTTGAGCATCTCAAGCTGCTCCGCCATCTGTGCCCATCGGACATCCGCGTCCGTTTGTGCTGACGGGCCCGCCGCCGCGGCAACATCTTGAACTCCTGCACTCGCTCCAGCCTGGGTCTCCTCCACCAACGCAGCTGGGTCCGTCGCAGGAGGAAGACCGTCGTCGTCAGATGATGAAGCAGACGATGGCGTCGGAATATTCTTTTTTCTCAATTGCTTCGACATGCCGTTACACTTCTGGCACCAATGTAATAAAGGACTCGACCACGGTATCTGGCTTGGTGTCCTTTATTCGGGTTCGTGTTCTCTTCCCCACACGGCTCTCTCCCAGAGACCCTCCGCTCCACTGCTGACGCTGCTGTCGCTGCTGTAGCTGCTGTAGCCTTCTCCCGTCCCCACCGCAGCTCCGCTGCTGCTCTCTGCGTGCAGCCTTCCGGCTCTCCTTGACGCAGCCCCACCGCTGCTGTCTCTCTCTCCTCCGAAGCAGCCCCTCTCTCCGTGCAGCCTCCCCGGCCGCCCTTGCTGCGGTCTCACCGCAGCTCCCCGTTTCCTCGGGGTCGGTCACCGCTGGCCGACGGTGCCGACCGTACTCTGTGTGTGTGGCGATCTCGCCACTCCTCCTGCCTTCGCCCTACGTGGCCTCACACTAGCCCAGTCTCCAGTCACTCCCCTCCTCTTCCGGTTTCACCCCTTTAATACCTGAACCCTTACCCCCACGTGACGTAACTCCTCCCCCCCATGACGTCACATCCGGAAGGTCGTTTACGCCCGCATTACACATGCAAAAACAAATTGGAAATGGGATGCCATTCCACAAAGAAGTCTGGGGAGAGTCACTGAAAATATAATTAATAGGGCCCGTGGATAATAAGAGTTTTAGAGGATCCTACAGCTGCTGCAAATAGGGCCACGGGTAAGAGGAGTTCTGTTCATATTCTAGAAAAGGCTAATACATTTCAATTACTGTACTATTATACCCAAGCTTTGTAGACTACGAAAAATCATTCTACTTGGTAGTAAAATATGTACTTAATTTTTTTTATATTAGTAGTAATCACCATTTAATAACATTAAACAGCAACACTGAGATTATATGAATAAAGTATGAAAATACATATTAAAAGACGAGTCCGAGACGCTTTCACCAAGGTTATTCAGTAACAGGAAGTATTTTTCTTTTCTAAAAGTGGATTGGAGAAACAAAGGCATAAATATTAATGGATAAAACATGCACAATCTCATATTTACACATACAATATCTCATAAGCTAAATTATGAACATTTTGTTTGAAAACTTTATTTTATGCCTTGCATGTCTCCGTCATTACTGCAGGATGATGTATTGTGTTTGTTACACTTGCGACCTAATGCGCTTTACACTGAGGAAGCAGAGAACATTGCTTTAAAAAAAATATAGCTTTTCTTTGTGCATTGACAATGAAGTTTGCATTTGGGAAAATGTATTATGCTGGGGCAGTGAAGCATCCTCTTGTTCTCTTAAAAATGGCAGTCCTGCAAAAGTCTTACAAACACTCAGGATTGCTAAATTAACATATTCTACCATTGTATGGGGCATGTAGCTTGCCACTTCTGCATCCTGTCGGTTGGGTTTTGTTTTGGGGTCCTGAATGGAGAATTTTTTAATGATTGAGTGAAAATGGAAAAGTTATGACAAATAGAACAAGATAGCAAGCAAACAGAGGTGGCAGGTTTGCCAAATGAGATATTGCATAGCATGCAATTTATATTTTATGTTATGTTAATGGTATTCTTCTTGGCAAAATAAAGTATTTTTAATTCAGTACTACCTTATGTACAATTTGATTGTTGATTTTCATAATTATTGTCCTCCTGCAGACAATATTCCTGTTGAATGGGCAGACATGAGTAATTTGGGACTGGACAAGTTTATGAATGTAAACCTGCATCCTTCATCTAGTTTGTACAAAATAATTGCTCAAGACTTCACTTCCTCACTTGAACTCACAAGCACTGCAGCTCTCGTGATTGAAGAGGTTAGTTATTATGTAATAATTCAGATTATAACTGTTCTTCTATAATTTTTACCTAGATATGAATGTGTAGGGATCATTTAGCATGATGAAAATGTACAAAATAAAGAACTAATCAAATTAGAAATAGCTAAACAGAGGGAATGGGAATACGTGTACCCTTGTTATATTAATACAACTGTTTATGTTAATATTTGATTTCAACTATTACTTTTCATTGAATGTCCCATGTAAACAGATAATCCACATTCAAAACCCATCACTCTGGAATGGGTACATGACAAAAAAAAAATCATTAGAAGATGTTGTGAAAAATGTTGACATTGAAAAGATTCTCTACCATGGGACCTCTCATAAGACTTGTGAAAACATCAATGCCAATGGATTTAACAGAGCCTACTGTGGAAAAAATGGTAAATACTCTACTTCTACCTCACATATTTTTAGGTTTGATTTTCAACTAGCATTTTAATTTGGATTATCATGTAAAAAATATTAAAAGATTGTATTGCTCTGCTTTTCTCATTTGAGTAAAATATAGCAACTGAGCATAATCCTAGTTATTATCTTACATAATCAGATGTCTTACTAGTTTAAAACCATGTCAGGGTACTCAGTGAAGACTGCTGAAATCCTGAATTGTAATCCTGATATCAAACCACTGGCCTATCATGAAGCAGTTTTGGCCATCATTTCGTATTATTATATGTGAAACATTTGCACATTTTGTGATAAATGGCTGTCATTTGCAACCAATATACCTAACACTTCTATTTACTGAAGTTCAATCTATATAGGTTGTATACCCTAGCGTTGCTCTGTATTAGGGTTTCAAGTCCATCATGTTAATCTACTCTGGCTATACATACAGCTAAACCTAAGAGACTACAATTAATTTGGTTCTTAAGATTTTATAAACTGCTCAATCCTCCTGTGCATACCCAGCAGAGCACTGTAGTAGATTCCCTGGCGTATTCTCCTGGCATATCACACAGTTGGCTCAAATTTGTAGGGCACACTGCAGGATGGTTGGGTTGGAATTTACTGATGTCCTCGTACTAAAATATACTTCTATAATTTACATTCTTCAGATTATGTACAAATTAAGCTGTGTAACAAAACAAAAGAAATAAGCTCAAGATCCACCATCACTCTCGCCAGACCTATGTATTGAGCTTTGTCAGGTTTTCAGAGAATTATCAAGCATTTGATTCACAAACTGAAAAAAATGCATATATAATGTAGGAAAAGTATATATCGTCAAAATGTGTTAAATTATTTAATTGCCCTCTTGAATCAATCACAGTCAGATTGCAATCTGTAAAAAAATACATAAGCTCGCTTGGTCCAAAATATGTTGAAAATGGCCATTGAAATCCTCCTTTGTGACTTAGATTTTCATAAATCTATGTCTGTATATATAAGGGAGATTTGTGAATATGTGTGTCTGTTCGAAATGTTTAGCATACTTACCAACATGCAACAAACTTGAAATTTGGCATGTTGGTAGTTTCCAGACTGTACACGACACAATAAGTATAAAAATAGACTTTTGTATTTTTTTGGGGGGGGCGCAATAATGGTATCTATATTACACGGCAAGTGAGCATGCGGCAGCGTTACGCATTGTGCCTGCTGACGTCACCCCCCCCCCAACCCTGCTCGTAGGCCGTGTATCCCGCACAAATGCGCGGCATAGCTGTCTCAATTTTCTAAGGGAACACAACTATTTTCAGCTCGCCACGTCATTCCCTTCCCGAGTTGCCTGCTTAAGGTTCAATTTCCTTGAGTGAAAAACATCCGATTTAGTTAAATTGATTTGTTTCGGATTTTTTCTTTCTTGCAAGCATCATTTTTTTCAGGGTTTTCCACCCAAATATAAGGGAATATTAAAATAATCCAAGACAAGAATCCAAGTCCCGGGCGTAGCTGGGTAGTAAAGCTAGTTAGGTATATTTGGTACTGATGGTGGCCATTTTGAAATAGAAGCAGGCTAAGGTTATTTCAGCCTCCCTAAGATGTTTTGTCTATATTAATTTAACACATACCACACAAGTGCACAGTTGCTTCATATCATGTCATCTGATGCCATTTGGTTGGGACTGTTTTATCTTTTGTAATTAATGAAAGGGGATTCCACCACTTTAAAAAGCGATTAAAACTTACATAGATTCTACATTTGAAATGAACAAAATTGGATGTAACTAGGAATAAAAGAAAGAACGTCATGTATTTAGATGTACAGTAATACCTAGATTAACGAAGCTCCTTCATCACGAAGTTGGCCATGGAGTGTCCCTTCGCCACGATATTTTTGCTAAAATGAAAAAAAAAATTTTGAAATCATACAAAGCGATTCATAAGAGTCAACATTTAAACCCTGCGCATGCCCTGTAAAAACAACCGAGCGGAGTTTTACTGGACATTATCAACAGGCAACCAGCGGCACGCTTCACCAGTCTTCTGTGTCCCGCCTGACATCGATCAAGATCCTCGTGTTCCTAATTTGTTATCGTGTTCTTTGCATTTTGATTTAAAGCTTTCGTGATTGCAGGGATTAATCTTCTTGGTTCTTTCGGTAAAGTCACGTAGAATGGAAATAATAAAATAATAAAAATAAAACATAATAAAATAATTCTCACGACGTTTCGGCCACAACGCAAGCAGCCGTCCTCAGGTGAAGAACAGGTCTGTCGAGAAGACAGAGTCTGAATGACAACCCCAGGCTTGGAGCGTCTTTTTTAAGCTGGGTTGGAGGGGGGGGGAGAGCGCCTTGACAAAATAATTTGCATATCAAGAGGAATTTTGCATATTTATGGGAAATGCAGATATGCGATTAGTACTTCTTGTGAAATGCGTAGGAGGTTTGGCGAGGGGTTTAAAGTCATTATGCCCGGCATTATGCAGGATTAGCAGCATCAAAGGGAGGGAGTAGGGGTAGCATTAATAAAGAGAAGGAATGTTAATAGTATGTATCTGCAGTAACTAAACCACCACGTAAACAACTAAAGTATAAACTATATAGTATCATCAGTATACTAAATATACTCTTCAAAAAGCTGAGCTACTAACAGTAAGTAATACATTACAATTCTACATCGCAAAAAATATAATATGCTTCCAGCTAAACTTTATTCTCTTACATCACACGGGTATACCCCGTACTATATACTGCCATAGACAAACCCAACATTAAATTATATACTGTATTATTATAATACACCACTCTATACCTTATACATTGTAATATTACACTATGTATTATACAACCTACCCTACTGTATATCACACTGCTGTATATTCACTATACAATTACGATACCATATATTACTTTTTACATTGTATAAAACATTACAATTGTATATTATTTATTATTATACAATCAGCTATACACTATACCATTGACCGTCGCGTGAAAGATACTAAGAGAAAGCAACGAAATATGTCAATGGGAGAGTGGTGGTAGGAAACTTGCAGCGGAGCAAAGAATGCATTCCCTGCGGAAAGGAATTTAGCATATTTATGGGAAATGCAGATATGCGATTAGTACTTCTTGTGAAATGCGTAGGAGGTTTGGCAAGGGGTTTTAAGTCATTATGCCCGTGCATTATGCAGGATTAGCAGCATCAAAGGGAGGGGGTAGGAGTAGCATTAATAAAGAGAAGGAATGTTAATAGTATGTATCTGCAGTAACTTAACAACCACGTAAACAACTAAAGTATAAACTACAAAGTTTAATCAGTATACTAAATATACTCTTCAATAAACTGAGCTACTAACAGTAAGCAATACATTACAATTCTACGTCGCAAAAAATATAATATGCTTCCAGCTAAACTTTATTCTCTTACATCACACGGGTATACCCCGTACTATATACTGCCATAGACAAACCCAACATTAAATTATATACTGTATTATTATAATACACCACTCTATACCTTATGCATTGTAATATTACACGATGTATTATTCTACCTACCCTACTGTATATCACACTGCTGTATATTCACTATACAATTACGATACTATATATTACTTTTTACATTGTGTAACACATTACAATTGTATTATTATACAATCAGCTATACACTATACCATTGACCGTCGCGTGAAAGATACTAAGAGTAAGCAACGAAATATGTCAATGGGAGAATGGTGGCGGGAAACTTGCAGCGGAGCAAACAATCCATTCCCTGTGGAGAATACAAGATATACAGACCTGTTCTTCACCTGAGGACGGCTGCTTGCGTTGTGGCCGAAACGTCGTGAGAATTATTTTATTATGTTTTATTTTTATTATTTTTTAATTTCCATTGTACGTGACTTTACCGAAAGAACCAAGAAGGTGTTCTTTGCAGTGATAAAATGATTTTTACTATCCATATTATGTCATGCAACCGACAATCTAGTGCTAGCTGCCTCATTCGGTAAAGAATGCAGCGTAAATCCATCTCTTTGGAAACGAAAATGCAGATCATGAGGAGGGGTAGAGGCGGGAGAGATGAAAAGTTAAGTGGTGCGTTCGTTAGGGTTGTCGCAGTCCACCTTAAGGACAACGTCAAGGCTACTGTACAACAATGGTTCCTATTGTACCCCCCTCTGAAGTCCTGGAATGCATCCCTATGCCTCCCACATCATATCTATACCTCTAGCAACGACGTTTCTAATAACGAAGTGACATCATGGAATACATCTACTTAGCAAGCCCATAAATGTATAATTGGTAAAATACATTAAATGATGTTAAATATAGGTAAACCTTATTGTTCAACACGATCGAATAATCTAACATGCAATGCACTTTAAAATAAACTCACAGTGGATTCACTGCTTTAATATTATATGTATACACCACTGCCAGTGTCATTCTAAACATTAACAGCTGCTATGGGGATTTATATTTTACAGCTACATTGTATGGAGATGGCGTGTACTTTGCAGTTAAAGCTGATTATTCTGCAAATGACACATACTCGCCACCTGATGAAAATGGTTCCAAGTACATTTACAAGGCACGTGTACTGACTGGAAAATATACCATTGGAAAGGAAGGAATGAAACAACCTCCACCCATAGATGAGAGTGTAAGCTTGGTGCAATTGTTTGACAGCGTTACAGACAACTTAACCAATCCAGAATTATTTGTGATATTTCACGACAGCGACGCTTACCCTGAATATCTCATCAAGTTCCAGTTTCCTTAGACCAAGAATGTGACACTTTTGTGGCAATCATGCCACGTTGGCAATTGGTGTTTCGCTTGGGAATCCTCGATCTTAAAAACAGAATTACCGCATTTAAATTTTATGGTTTGCAAGCCATCGTTGGGCCAAATGCATGTTTACACGATTTTAACAGGTTCTTTCAGATTATGGACATCGTTGGGATGAGGTTAAGGGTGTATTTTATAGCTTTAAAATGTATGGTATTCTATTGTGGGTTGTTTCATTTTGTTATACAGTAACCAATTAATAAAATGTATAGCTTTAACATTTATGGTATTCTATTGTGAGTTGTTTTATTTTGTTATATGGTAACCAATTAATACAATTTAAACATTTAACATTACATTTTAACTATATGCCGCATCACTTTTCAATAAGCAACAATGTATATAGAGACATCCAGACTACAGAGAGCAATACTTCTCTTGACACCCCAATGTTTGGGGATGTTTATAGTGTGTCAAACGACTAAGGGCCTGATTCAAGTAGTCATTTTGGTTGTGATTCGATAACTTTTTTGCAGAATGGTGGCCAATTTCAGATACAATCAGAAACTTGTATTTTACAATGTTTGTACAGCCAATTTGGCAGTTTTATAAAATGTCCATGTGTTCCACCAATTATTGCCTTAAAGGGACTGCAAGCAGTATGCACACACCACAGCAGTCACTCATTTGAAGCTGAGTCGACCTTAAAGAGACTCAGAACAGGTTGTGAAACTACTTGCCACCGAATGTGTGCCGTGGCTCGTAGTACATTCCCAAATCACTGTGCTCCAAACCTTACACACACAAACATCAACAGAAACAACAACAAAAGCTTTCATTTGCCACTAAACTTTGAGGTCACGTGAAGTGTGGAAAGCTCACTTGCAGATCACAGGACAGAGACAGGTATTGTGGGTTAACTGAGATGACAATTGCCCACACACAGAATAAATAATGCACATTTATATACACAGACATTTGTACACGCAACACATGCCTATGCACACAAACACAATGATTCTCCATGTCTGTTAGACTTTTTAGATCAATTGTGGAGTGGTGGGATGGGTGGTATGCAATAATGTATTATGCACCCAGTGACCTGAATTAATTTACTGGCTCTAGATTTGAAGCTTTCGTGACTGCAAGGATTCATATTCTTAGGTTTTTTCGGTAAAGTCACGTAGGTAAAACATTAAAATTAATGAAAATCAAATCAAATAAAACAAAAATTGCCTCCGAAACGTCGTGATTTTTGTTTTATTTTATTTTATTTTCATTAATTTTGATGTTTTACCTACGTGACTTTACCGAAAAAACCTAAGAATATTAATTTTGATGTTTTACCTACGTGACTTTACCGAAAAAAACCTAAGAATATCATTTACTGGCTCATGGCTAATGGGTTTCTCATCACTGGAATGACCACCTTTTATTTTACTCGAACTTACCGCTTCCTGATGGCAGCATCATCATCCCCCTCAAATAACTTTCCCACCTACTTCACGGTCTCCGCAATGTGGCCCATCAGTTGGTGCTCGCACGCAATTTCAACAGTTCAGACTCGACTGCAACCATCGTCGATAGTTGGTCTCGAGGCAATTTTTTCTGCCACAACCGGGTAGTCGCCAACGCAGTTGGAAATGTTTGGCCTGCTTTCGCAAACATATTTATTTTTTACAAAATACACATGTGGCAATATACTCATCAGTTGTGGAGTTAACATCAATAATGATTAAATGAAAGAACATGAGAATTTATTTTCGCATGGGTCAAGGAGACTGTTTGATCATACTTCGCCACTTTGCCCAGGGACTGGTTCAAATATCAGATTATGATGCTAGATGTGGCCAGGATTCTCATCGCCCGACAAAACTTACAGAACCAGAGGTGAAAACCTCTAATCTAGTAACGCCACTTGTGTCGTGAGCTAACATTACCCAGAATACGTTTTTTAGGGGCTTTGCCCAAAAACCTGACCGTCAGTTAAGTGTTTAATAATAAAAAAAATGGTTAATTTCCTTTACAAATGAGCGTTTTAATCATGTAGTTTTCATTTTTAACATTCATTTATTTCACTTTTATTTTTTATTGCAGCCACGTAAAAGCTGGGCTTAAAATTTTCGTGACTGCAGAAATTCACATTCTATGGTTCTTTACCGAAAGAACCATAGAATATGTAAAAGCCTTTGAAGGGCCCATAGAGTAAAGGTACAGGGTTCTGGTTCGTATCGGGATAGTGGGAGCAACCCAACTCATACTTACCTGACAGCGGTGGCACCATGATCAATTAGGTGGTCCTCCCAGGGCGAGGCTCATCCATTGCACTGCGGGTGGGTTGACCCCTGCGATTTCCCCAAATGCGGGAAACTCCACTGTGTAATTTGTGGTACTGGGGGACTGCGTTCGCGCTATCCCCCGATAATAATGAAAAAATATATGTTTTAGTCGCATTAAAGTTTTATAACATACCAATAATTGCTCGCAGGAGCGATAATGGCGAAAGTCATTATTTTTTGTGAATGCAGTTAGCCGGAACAAACTGTTGCCATCGTTAAACTAGTTACTACTATAATGAGCCATGAATGTATGTGTGTCCCTCGTGTGACGTCACTCCACGTCGGCCAGCCCCCCTCATTAATGATCATGAACAGGTGACGTCCTCCACATGGTCCCCCGTCATTATTAACCATGAGCGGGTGACGTCACTCCACATCGAACAGCCCCCCTCATTAATAATCATGAACAATAATCATGAAGAGGTGACTTCCTCCAAATGGACACTCCACCACTAATAATATTTGGCGGGTGACGTCACTCCACATGGGGGCGCGAGGTGCCTCCTCCCCCCTCCTCAGCGTCAACTTACAACCCTCACTCCAAAGGAAGAACCCTCACGTGACGCGATCTCCGTAACGCTATTGAGACATAGAAGTAAAAGGACGTCATGATGACTAAGGCGTTATACGTGTTAAATGAAATAAGTCTGTGTCACCGCGGCCTTACAAATTGCACACAAATTCTTGCAATAAATATCACGTCGCGGTCTGCTTTTCACTTGCAAGATTCAGATTTACTCAAATACACCCGTCCTTGGACGTGCAAAGCGCTAGTTGGAAATGTTTGGCCTGCTTTCGCAAACATATTTATTTTTTCAAAATGCACATGTGGCAATATACTCATCAGTTGTGGAGTTAACATCAATAATGATTAAATGAAAGAACATGATAATTTATTTTCGCATGGGTCAAGGAGACTGTTTGATCATACTTTGCCACTTTGCCCAGGGACTGGTTCAAATATCAGATTATGATGCTAGATGTGGCCAGGATTCTCATCGCCCGACAAAACTTACAGAACCAGAGGTGAAAACCTCTAATCTAGTAACGCCACTTGTGTCGTGAGCTAACATTACCCAGAATACGTTTTTTAGGGGGTTTGCCCAAAAACCTGACCGTCACTTACGTGTTTAATAATTAAAAAATGGTTAATTTCCTTTACAAATTAGCGTTTTAATCATGTAGTTTTCATTTTTAACATTCATTTATTTCACTTTTATTTTTTATTGCAGCCACGTAAAAGCTGGGCTTAAAATGTTCGTGACTGCAGAAATTCACATTCGGTGAAGAACCATAGGATACCATTGGAACCTCAATTGCCAGTAAAAAATATGATAATTGTTTTTTTACCCTTTTATCTGGCAACAAAACTGACACCTTTGTGCGCCTTTTGGCGTCATCTGGTCCAATACCATGTGAGACTAGGCTGAGTGCGCCTTTTGGCGTCATCTGGTCCAACACCATGTGATACTAGGCTCTAAGGAAAGCTGTCTCGGGTGTGGACCAATCAACTTCAAGGACAGTGCATACATTATCAGAGTTATGTTTTTTGTTTGCATTATGACTGCAGGTATTGTGGTCTATGCAAACATGACTCCTTGTAAAAAATGTGTCAGTTTTGTTGCCAGATAAAAGGGTAAAAAAACAATGATCAACCATAAAATACGTAAAAGCATTTGAAGGGCCCATAGAGTAAAGGTA